CAGCTGTCCTTGACCTGAGTGTCTCCCCATGATTCCCACCAGAAGCCTAAGTAGTCTCCTTCCATTGCTATGTGACATATTATGTCCTGCTTTTATTAATCATACAATGTTGAAATAATCAAATATCATAAGAAGCACTGTGGGCCAATAGCGTGGGCCAGTACAAGGCCCAAAAATATGCTTTTCTGGTTACTTTGATACGATGCAGCAGCTTTCAGAAACTCCTAAAAAGGTTATATTCCACTGTAAACTACTTTGGCTCAATGTTTTTCTCCAAGGATGGGTTACATCTGTTATGCTCGCGGTAGACGGGCAGGCAGGAAGCGGGGAAGGACGAAGGCAGGCAAGAAGCGGGGAAGGACGAAGGCAGGCGGGAAGCGGGGAAGGACGAAGGCAGGCGGGAAGCGGGGAAGTACGAAGGCAGGCGGGAAGTGGGGAAGGACGAAGGCAGGCGGGAAGCAGGGATGGACGAAGGCAGGCGGGAAGCGGGGAAGGACGAAGGCAGGCGGGAAGCGGGGAACGACGAAGGCAGGCCGGAAACGGGGAAGAACAAAGGCAGGCGGGAAGCGGGGAAGGACGAAGGCAGGTGGGAAGCGTGGAAGGACGAAGGCAGGCAGGCAAGGATGCAGAAATAAACGGGTTTATTAGCACAAACAGGTCAGACGGCGACAAACATCAATGACAGATCTGGGGAAAACGGACTCAGATGCGGACTAAATACACAGGACAATCCGAAAATAACAGGCAACAGGTGATCACAATCGGGAATTAACACGAGGTAATGAGGGGCGCGTGGCACACAGGAGGATTGGACGACCAGATCATGACAACATCCTTTTAGTGTTGTCTTAAAGATTATAGATATCGTAATACAACTGCATATACAACTAAATGCTCTAAGTAACTTCTTGGTTGGCTCAGTGGGTAGTACTACGATCTTGTGTGTTTACGGTTGCTGGTTTGAATCCTTTGTTGTATGTGTGCAGTTTCCTTGTTGTACCTCTTTCTATTCTGGATTTCCTCAGAATACTCCTTATTTTTCTGTTTCACCAGTTGACACTGAAGGACATGGCTATGAAGACTACGAACCACCTGAAGATCACGGGTATACCCTTGCTTAATGGCTCAAGGTGAGTCATTTCCTCTCCGGTTGCTTTGAGGGTTCAGCCTATGATTGGCTTCTGCCTTTCCCTGAACTATCACTCAGCTACTGCCACTGAGTCTTCTGTGGACCCCCCAGGTTCTACATCGAGATCGGCTATAACGTGGCAAACATCGGCATACACTTTGATGTCCGCTTTGACCATGAAAAGGACCATCATGTCATTGTCATCAACTCCCGGAAGGAAGGCATCTGGTCCGCTGAGCAGAGGGACAAACGCTTCCCCTTTAAACAGGGGGAGAAGTTCAAGGTGAGGCCATCTGTGTTTGTGTCACCAAGGTACCAAGTTCCATTCCTCCAAGTTTTATTGTGACAGAGTTCCAAGACAGGGGAGGGGTGCTTGGGGGATTTGGGTAATTCCATGTCAAATCATCACACTTTTGGACTTCATCATCACAGATTTTAACAAAACTCGGCATGCTGATTTGGTCATATGAGTAACCCATGGAACGGAAATTGCATGTGATCAATATTATGGGAGGTTTAAGGTAACAAAATTAGAACTTATTGAGGGGGATATGATTTTGACTGGCTGTATCTCCCTTAACATAATTTTCACAGAAACGGTTTTCATATCATTTTAAAGCTCTTTTCCAGCTCTATAGTTTGCAAAAATACTATGCTATGCACAAAAATGTTTATCCATCCATCCATCCATCCATCCATCCATCCATTAACATCCGCTTATCCGAGGTCAGGTCGCGGGGGCAGCAGTCTCAGCAGGGAAACCCAGACTTCCCTCTCCCCGGCCACTTCCTCCAGCTCCTCTGGGGGAATCCCGAGGCGTTCCCAGGCCAGCCGAGAGACATAGTCCCTCCAGCGTGTCCATCCCAAATGACCGAGCAACTCACCCTATCTCTAAGAGAGAGCCCAGCCACCCTGCGGAGAAAACTCATTTCGGCCGCTTGCA